AACACAAAGGCATTGGACACCGAACACGCGATGGCACGCGATGTAACCGACGAGTACATATACAAACGACATGCACGGGTGTGCGTTGTGGGTTTATATGTATCGGCAGAGGAACAGGTGAATGGAGAGAGAAAAGGCGGAAAAAGATAGCGCGCGGGCGGATAGATAGGCAGAGGGAGAGAACAGTGGCGGGCGGAAACAAAAACGATGGAGAGGATTATTTTAGGGCGATGCGGTTCGAATCCCGACGTCGCGGGCGGCGGAGCAGTCTCGGTGGTTTATACCCGCTGTAAAATGCGACGGGGGATGTTTCCCTCCCCTCAGCCCTATGCGAAAATAGTAGGTCGTAAGACTGCCGCGCGCGGATGGTGAACGCGCGCCAGCGATGTGGCTGGAGGCTGGAGGCCGCGCCGCGCCGCGCGCGCCGGGGCTGAGGTCGGGAAACGGCGCCGAGAGGGCCGGCGGCATATGCCGTGTACGGCGCCGCTCCACTCGTACATCAACAACGTGATTCCCATGCATACTGCTCACAATCTCGCCGAGCCGCGGGAGGGTTCGGAGGATGCATATGCATACACGCGTGACCCCGGGTCCTCCGCCGTGCATATGTACCCCGAGCTTGTTTCTCCCGGGGGACATGTGTGTGCGCCACCCCCGTCCCCGGACGCACGTGCGCCTGCCTCCGCCTCGCGTTTGTCACGCTCCTAAATTCATGTTTCGAGGTCGCGCTACGTCGCGCACGTGTCACTCGCGGGGGTTGATAGGAAAAGACTGTTTCCGCCGTTTTCACCGTACCCGGTGCACCGCCTGGCCGTTTGTTACGCGGCCGAAATGTCTCGTCGCGCCCGCGCCGCCGGGGCCCGCGCCGTAAACAGGCTTGCATCCGTTGAAAACTGCATTAGGATAATTAAGATGTCAAATGTATCTTCCGACACCGAGGTAACGTACAGATTTACTGGGGCGATATCGCGCTTGAGGAAGCTTTCTTAATTAGAACGTCGGCTGTTACAGTCTTTGAGGATTTTCAAAGAAATAATTTGTAACGATGTTTCTAATTAATTAATTGGCTCTTTATTAACGAGCCATTAACTGTGCTTTACGGGCTCGGGGCGCATTAAATTATTTCCTCAATCGCGTTATAGCTGTAATAAAATGCGCGATACAAACGCGAAACTTAAGGGGATGCCGGAGCGATTCTGCGCCTTTTGCACTTTTTCCATCTAGAACTGTCGATTCAAGAAAACATTTGGGTACTGTACAAATTATGTGGCTTTTGTGCACGGACCGACAGTGTTCCGCTAATCGGATTAAATGAGAAAACATGGTATCATTGAAATTAAGTTTAGAAGCCTAGCAAAAAATCCATTCACTCGAATAAGTTGTAGGTTGTCACATAACATAGGTTGTCGAGTGAATAGATTTTTCGTTGGGCTTCTAAACTTAATTTTAACGATACCATGCTGTTCTCCGTCGAGCTAAGATGCCCGTCGCGAATTGAGGGAGGTCCCAGGTTCGATTCCTGGCTGAGGTAATATTATTCGCAATAAGAATTTTAATTTTTAATATGGAGCACAAAAGGTGCAGAATCACTCCAGTATCCCCTTAAGTCACATATAATTTTGAGGGGCGATATTGCTTAACCCTCCCGGTCGTTTCACGCGGCGCCCTATAGATCGCATTAACGTTTCAATGATTTCTGATAACGCGCGCCCCGTACGACGTATGCGGGCAAGATATATTCGCGAGAAGGTAAAAGTTAGACGCGTAAACTTGAGATTGGTTGCCGGCTGCGGTCTCCCTATAGGAAATCCTGATACATCTCGAGTTTCACGTCAAACTTTCCGACTCGCTACTTCGGCTTCGCTCGCGCGAGATATCCCTCCGTTTTTCCCGGCTTCTTTCGCGCGCCACGTTACACGTATCCTTCGTTTCTCCGCGCCCGTGGTAATTTTGTCGAGCATGTCGTACGGCTCGCCGTAAACCACGATACCAACGATGAGTTTCGTGTTCAAAGTGCCCGCTTGTAATTGCACGCGGCCGTTTGTGGGCGCACAAGGGACGCACGTTCGCCCCCGGGACGCGAAATACAGAGGACAACCCTTCTCCCACCCCTACGTGAAATGTAGCGTTAATCTCATTGTTTCATCGTGTCGTCACTGCGCTACGAATTACCTCGAGTCAATTATCGCGATGACTTTTGGGCGAAAGAGACTTTAAGCCTTTAAGAAAGTGCTTTTGAGACAGACACGCGGATGTAGTATGCTTCATTAAGGACTTTGAATAGCTAATTAATGTGCAAGGAAATACACGACATATTCGGTACTTACCGTTAAGCCGATTCAGATTAAGCAAATGAGCGCAAACACGAAATCAGGATACGGTTTGCTTGTCAGCAAGTCGCTTGTTCGTGTCACCTTCGTTGCGCTGGGTTGTTTGATCTAAATCTCTCACATCCGAACATTTTAATTAAGTTCGATCGGGAAGTGTCTGATACGCATCGCCGGATTAATTTCGGAAAATTTTGAGGGAAGCAAAACCGTGGTCGGGCAAAAAACAATTTGGTCCCCCCCTCCCTCGGTACTTTCCGCGAGTAAATTCAAATCTGTTCTACGTTAAAATATAAAATGAACATTGTAATGAATACGGGAGTAGTGTTCTCTATTGACGCGAGTAAACGTGCAATAATTTTTCATTCGTTCACACAGTAGGTACAATACATTAATTTTTATTTCCAAATTCTGTGATTTTCCACTTCAGTTTAACATCGGCTTCCGTTATCAAACGGTTCAGTTTAATGCAGTCACGTATAATTTAAGCTGACATAGAAACTTTTTCACGCTGGCGCGTATCGCCTGAAGAGTTCAAGAGTGCGTTTGCCGTGCTGGTGATATAATTATTTCAATTTTCGCCCAGCAGCGAGACATTCCCGGGAAGTTACGAGCGGAGCGTTGCGCGAGTTTACACGGTTGCTAAAGAATACGCTGAATTTAAATAATCTAAATATCCCTCGTAGTGTATTCCTTTGATTCGGTTAAATTCTCTTCTCCTCGGACTCCCGCCGACAGGACACGCAGGTGGGGTTAAAAGCAGCGAGGGAGAGAGAGGAGTCAGCGGACGGTTTCTTTTTACGTCGCGTAAAAACAGGGTGGAGAAAGGGCAAAGAGCATACAGCGACGCCCGCGAGTCACGCGAAAGAAAGCAACTCTCAAAGGACGCGTGCTATAAGTCACCCTCAAAGGATGCATCCGGAGTACAGCGACCGCAAGGGAGACGCGGGACTGGTAACTCGATAAATAAAAAAAAAAGCAAAAATGGATAAATCGGGAACGAGCCGGCCAAACGGCTCCTGTTTCCGTTATCCAAAAAAAAAAAAGAGGAAAAAATCTCGGTAAGCTTTGTCCTCGGTTGTTTCAGTCTGCTCTAACGGGTTGTTGTTTGTTTCCCAACGGGCGTCCCCGAGTTTTATAGTGGAAAAAAGAGGGTAGGAAAGCGGTTAGTAATGACGACGGGCACAATAGCGGATAGTTAACGCATAGATGCGTCGGCCAGGCCGGGCGGGTAAGCGGGGGCGGGCAGGCAGGCAGGTTCGTTGGTGCTAGAACGACGCGCGAGCGTTGTCCGAGTGATACAGAATGGCAGAGGGACATTGGGTCGCGAGCGGAGCGTCGAATTGTAGGGAAGGAAGGAGACGGAGACGCGAGCGGGATCAGTTAGTGGCCTTCATTTGGGTGCAAATGGAGTTTTTCCTAAATGGACGTTTCGAAAGTTTGCCGCTGTCAGGCATTGTTTGGTCGGCGGCGGAGGGACGAGGGGCAGCGGGGGGGACGAGGGAGTCGAGAGCAATGCGGAATCAGTCTGCCAAGGCTTTGATTAGCTGGCGTCACGAGGTCAAAGGCTCCCTCGATTGTTCGCCTCGTATTTATAGTCGGTTCGTTCGTTCTCCTCACGGCAATTGTCGCTCCTCGTCCTTCCCCTATTTTTCGTATTCTTCGTCCTCTCTTCCCTCTTCGTCCGTTCCTCCTCGCGTCTGGACCGTATTGCTTTTCGTGAGAGAAATATAAAGACGGGGGGCGTTCTCTGTTTTACTATAATTCCACATGTATTGCTCATCTTGTGATTCCACTAAAACATTGGAGAGTCTAATGAATTTCTAAAAGTAGTTCGTCCTACCGCGCGTTCCCCCTTCCCTTCTCTTGTTTGAACTCCAATCTCGAATTTCTCTCCTTACTTTTCCTTCTTTCCATCGAGGCGAGCCATTATTGGTTCAGCTCCGTCGTGCAGTTGATTATAGATAGACCGCGTCACCGTTTGTTTGCCGAAGCTCTTATCTTTCCAACACCTGCTTAAGAGAGTTACAATTAATCTTATACTTATCATCTATACGTTAGTTACTTGAGTAAAAATTGTTAAGGCGTGCGCTACGAGAGGACAATCCTGCCTAATAATTTTGTAACCAGTACCTAGATTATTGCAAAGCCGTTATTCACTTTCCCTCTTGTATGTCCGCGATCGTAAATGGGTGCTTCGCGTCGAATACGAAAATCCCTGAACTGAGATAAATTCCCTACGCTACGTGATCGAAACACGGGCGAGAGACACTAAAAGGAAAAGCAACGATTTCCCGTTGCTTTACGACAGTAATTAAGCGCGACTTCGCTTCGGAAACCGCAACTAATGCTTGCCTCCATTCGATCCCGAAGCTTCATTTGCTTGCGCGTCCAATGACGCCGTGCCACTTTGATCTCGAGTTGAGCACTTACGAAAGTGAGATCGCTCTCAATCTATGCGCGCGTTAGCGTTTATTTACTATCGCATCATCAATTCGCCGGGACGCGTTGCCCGAGTGAGTCAAAAAGCTCCTACCAAGCAGGCCCGATTTAAAGGGTCACGATTGCGCCCCGTAATTCCGTTATTTACATACTCGTCATAATTAAATACAATCGTTTCTCTTGGTCGAAGTGTGCATATGAAATTACCTAGTTTCGTAAATTTCTGTGCAGTGCCGAAGGTGGAAATAGTGGATGAGCACGGCGCTACGGCTGGTGACAAGTTCTACAAAGCAGGTAGTACAATAGAGCTGAAGTGTGTAGTCAGCAATATACCGCAACCCACTGGCTATGTCACGTGGCGACACGGATCTCGTACGTTAAATTACGACACGACTCGTGGTGGCATCAGGTAAGCTATAGTAGACATAATATTTTGGTACTGCGACGACTTAAACAACGTAATATACGGTAATTCGTAGCTATCGAGGAACGTCGTCGGCTCTGATCCGTACAGTTTGTCATTGCATTATATATCAACTATTTGACGTGCAGCATGACGGCAGTTACGGTTAAATGTATAGCTAGTTTAACGTTCTGGTAATTCGGCCGACGAGGACTCGATGGTTTATGCAGCCTGCATAGACGGGCATTCTAATTGCCTCGATAAAGAATGGTACGTTCGGTGAATTTTGAAAGGCCTCTATTAAAGTTCCCGAGCGACGGTCAACAATTGTGGTGGCTTCTAGCGTGTGTGACCTAATTGGTTATAGATATGACAGCGTTCATGAATTTCAAATGGCGTTTTCAGACAGCACTCGATGTTGTCGGTTTCGTAGAACGATTTTTCAATCAGCGGTTAATCGATAAAACAATTTTGAATTTTTTCTCAGACATAGGGCAATATAGTCCCTTTGTCTCGCTAGTTTTTAGGCGCCTGCTTCGCTCGTTTCAGCCACGATCGGCCAGTTCGCGTCACACGCTTGACAGTTCTCGCGGTAATGGCGATGCCTGAAAAATCTATGAGAAATTAGCAATATCGCGATCGATATCGAGCCTCGAAAGAAAGGACGCGAGGCACCAGGTGAACTGTTGACAATTTAATCACCCTTGAAAACGCTCTATTATAGTGGGCGGATACACGTAACGAACGAGCTCGTTACTTGTGCCAAACGCAGGCACTGCGGGCCTTGAATAAAACATACAAAACTTTTAATCACAAACCAGGTCGCAGATACGATTAGTAGACATTAGACCGATCAATTAAAATTACCCGCGGAATTATTTCAGAGCAATTAAAAAACGTCTTCGAGCTATTTTTGAATAAAATTGGCAAGGGGTATTCTGTGAAGTGCATTAATAGCAATTCAATTTTTCAATTTTTTTTAATTGAAAATCTAACATACTTGACCATTCGATATCTTGTTTTCCAATGTGAAGTAACAATGTAAGTTTTACGACAAATATCAGAATAATATTGATTTATGCATTAGGTCTGCGCTCGGAAAAATATTACATGTACATTTTGTCGTTTTTATTTATAATAACATTGATCTTTTCACGGACTTTTCCGTCTTTGAAATGTACGATAATATTAGACAACGAGTCAAGCAAGAAAGAACTGTAATACTGGGAACAAAGAAAGCACTGAAATAATTACTAGATGTTCACTAATTGCATAACTAGAAATGACTGATGCACTGTAATTTTCTAGTAACTATTTCAGTGCCTTATTGGTTCACCAGTTTTACATTTCTGTAAGGGAGGGGCTTCTCAAAAATTTTACACAAGATTACATTTACAAAGAAAAGTTACGCCCGTAAATATTACGTAGGCAGATCGTAAGATATTTTCGTCGTCGTTAATAACTTTGACTCTTTTATAGAAACTTTCTATCTTCAAAATTTACAACGACAATAGTGGACGACGATTGAAGCAGCGCTTTCCGAAAATGTCGCGTGAAATAACGTTTATGAATGAATTATGAATCAAACTTACGCTCTACAAATGTTACGTGGGCGGATCGCAAGATGCAACAACTATTTTGTATTCCGTACCGATATTACGCGAACGGCATGGCATAATGCGGGACAATACGTAGAATGCGTACGCAATTTATTGAGCGCATTCCATTACCCTTTGATTACCCCCGAGAAACGTTTTGCGAGATCGTTAAATCGAACGCGTCAAATGCAGCGCTGCAAATTAACGACATTCGATCACGCCGCCGTCGTCTATCGTGATTACTGGCTCACTGGATATTATAATGACATACATTGGCTTCCCTCACTTGACGGACCGCCATGAAAAGACTGTATCATCGTATCTCGCAAATTGCGCTTGATATAACATTTGCGCAGATGCTCCGTGGATTATGCGCACATACAGAGAGAGAGAGGGCGAGGAGGAATAATCAAACTTCGCGCTACTTATGACATAATCTTCGTGATGCAACCGTAATTATTGGCTAAATTTATTACTTCGGTGCGCCTTCCATGACACGAGCAAGTTTTTGTTTTGCCACTTACCGCGGGATACAAGAGTAAATTTGTATATATACGCGTATATTAGTTTCTTACCCTCCATTTAACTTTATAGGTTTGCATTTCTATCTACTTGTTGATGCGAAAACTCTCACTGGCTTAAACGTCTAAGGATGCAAGGTTGATATAGGCAATGCATCGGTGAAGTTAGTTAGCGGTATAACGTTATTATGTTCCGCACATAGTGTTACACTTCGCCGTCTCTGGTATCGCGTCCGTAGCTTGCCGACCTCCTGTCTATTACTCTTCACCTTGGGCGTTTCCTAAGTTGGTCAAGTCTGTAAGTGCACGCCTCGAGCATGCATCGCCAACGCGCGGCGCTAAGCTCGACATAATCGAGCGATTCTGGCGATAGATAAGTCGACAATAACGAAATATCGCGATGCATAACTTCTATTATCGTGACATGCAATTAGGGAAATTCATAAATGCTGCGCAGACAAATTGTTGAAATAATACTGTTGTCGCGCCTTATTGTTTACCTCAATCACACAAAATATCCATGCAATAAATTTAGAATATTTTGAATCTCGTAGGAAAGAATTGCGAAAGGAATTAACAGAACTCACGCAGCGCTGATGCAATTTAATTTGAACTAATATTGCTTTCAGTAATTTAACGTTACAGCGCGGCTTCAGTTTCGCAATGTCCGAAAACGTTTGTAGAAATGTTGAATCTGGAATCGTTAAGCTTTACAAATCAGTAATCTTTTTCTATCTTTCGAAATAAAAGGATGGCAAAATTCGAGATGAAATGTTTCTTTCATCAGGCTAATAATGGATTTCGAGTTAATACATCATTAAGGACGATAAAAACAATGTGAAATACATCGTGTATTCTATACAGTGGTGTCGTATCATTGGTCGGCGTCCCGACGCTCGTTCGCTACAGTGATACGTGCGGGCTGATCCATTACTCGGCAAATCAATTAGGACACGGGCGTCGTAGCGCGGAAAAAAAGCGTGACGAAAACAAAGCATTTAATCGGATTTTGTTTTATCGGCCGTACACGCTGAACCCACGACGGCAAATATTTCATGGCAACAAGGGGGACACTGTGGTGCTTCTTTTTTTATATCAGTGTCCGCGATAAAATAGGCCCCATATTTCAAAATTCTATTCCGGTCACGGCTTTTTTGTTATCCTCTTTCCGAAATAACGCTGCCGAAATGTCGATATTATTACTCGGCCTTCTGTGCAATACCTGAAAGATTTAAAGAAAAAGTAGCACAAGTGGACTGCACTATATATCGCCACGGCGGAGTTGGATATTTCCATTTGTTCAACATCTCGCGGAACACGTTACGGAACTGTTTTAATAAATAACGATCTGAAAAGACCGTAAAATTTCTCGACAGAAGATGATATGAAATGTCACGAGGTAGATTACGTGAGAAAGGAATAGCAAAAAATAGGATTTGTAATTACATTTTAACAGTCGTCTGTCTTCGTGAAATGAAGAGCGAAATGTAGGGGACGCACGTACGGACCTATTCTCCGATCAAAAGTTTGTATCTACCGTAAACTTTTATGAAACTTACGGGATGACTTCTCCATGGTCGCTACCCGGAGTGGATTGTATATGCATCGCGCGAAAAAACGCTGCGACCGTGCAGCAAAACAGAAGTGACTGTACCGAATATGTTATAAATAAATACCGCGTGTTCGCCAAGTTTTTCCTGTTAGCGCCCATCGGCGTGATACAACTTTTAAGTTGCCACTATTTTCCGCTACCATATTCCATATTGCGTTCAAATAAAGGAAGATTTCCCGCAGAAAATGAAAATAAATTCCACGCGCTGAATTTATCGATTTTCCTGCTAAAAGTAAGGTGATAAAAGGAAGATACAAATCTACCATCCGGACGTCGTAAAGATCTTACGGACGTTCCTTATCGTATTTCCCCGCCGTATAATTTTGTTCGACGATCACTGAGTTTTATACGCACACTTTTCGACGATATTTCGCTCGTCGATGTAATATTTAATTTTGAAAGATTTGTGACCGGCTAAATAAATTTGTCAGATTTGTTAGTGACGACGCTTTCGTCCCTAGGTGATAATTATGGCCGCAAACTTTTCCATAATTTTATAAAACTTTTCCACAAAGTACGATTAAGGGGGAACAGGCGCTTTCCTAAAGTTAGACCCGCTTCTCATTAAAGGCGGTGTTTATTGGAATTGTTATGCATCCTCTTTTGCATTTTTATGGATAGTCCTTGGCAGTAACACGGGTCCGTTTTTCTTACTCCGCGTCACGCGGCGTCGTATTTTCACGTTGGCAGATCATTCGCGGCGCAATGAGCCGCTAATAAGAACCCCAAATGAATATTCATAACGCTTGTAATAAAATGCTATAATCTTACTTTTCAAATAAAAAAAAAGCGCCGTTTTCGTGCGTTCCGCAAACAGAACAACGGACGACATAGAAAATACAGGAAAGTACCTCACGCCAGTCTCATTTGCTGCGACCACCACTAATAAAATAATTAAACACGCGTAATGGATTTAATTCCGCGTGACTACATATGTAATGTGACACACTGCATATTGCAATATATGAATATCCGATAGATACGAAAAACAACTTGCGTAACATTAGTTAATTTATGCCGGACGTACATAATACATACCAGTAATATGCAAATTAACTGTGTGAGTATGGATTTACAATTATAAAGAACAATATAAAGCGTGCCGTATCGTTGCTATGACATGATTTTGCATTTATTCTTTTACGTGTGTTATTTACACCAAGATATCATTATGCAAAGTAGCGTAGAGCTTTTAAAAGCTCAGTGTGTCAGATTGGAGAGCAACGCGTCAACGTATCAATTATTGAAGCGAATAGATCTATTTCTTCTCTGCAA